CCCGCCAACAGAGCTTCCACACTGTTCACAACTTTTGTGAAGGCCACTTGGCAACTCAAAGTTTAATACGAGGGGGTAGCAAAAGGCGCTTCCAAAGCGAGGCGCGGGGTCTGTGCCACAGCAGAGCTTGCAGGGCTGAGCGTTGTTACAAGGCACTGCCGACCGGATGCGTACGCGCTCGAGCAGCCCGTACAGAATAGCGCGGATCTGTACGCGCTCCAACAACCCGTACAGAATAGCGCAGATCTGTACGGGCTCCAACAACCTGTACGCGCGCACGAGCGCACGCTCGTGCACAACTTGCGAGTCCCTCCATTGAAACACGCACAAAGACTCGTCTTGCTGTCGAGGTAGTCACGCACAACGACTCATTTTGCTGTCGAGGTAGTCACGAGTCCACAAAGTGGTGAGCACGGTAGCAATGGTAGCCAAGGAGAGCTTTCTTTCGGCCAAAGGTGTCGTCTTGTCTCCCAAATGTCAGAGGGCTCTAACGATGTGTGCGTGTCAGCGCGTCTTTGGGACTGTCCCTTTTGGCCAAGCAGAGGGCGCCCGCGACTCATGAGCGCCGGCCTCAAGCAGTTGTGAGTACTCGTGACTCCTTTACAAGCGATCCCGTGGTAACGCGAATGACGACAATTGATGCGCACCTGCGACTGAGGAGCCTCCTCAGCAGCCTTGTCACCGAGAGAGAGAGAGAGAGAGAGAGAGAGAGAGAGAGAGAGAGAGAGAGAGAGAGAGAGGCGACCAGCTGCGCCTCCTGCAGTTCAGGAAACGAACACGCAGAAGCCCGCCCCGTCGCGTGCCTGAAGCTCATGCAGAGAGAGCAGGAGCGCATGTGCGCCACATGTTGAACCTCGTGTGTGCGACTTGCTGAGGTGTAGAGTCACATTTGTTTCTCTCGAGTCCGTGCTCCAGACTTTGAAAAGTCGGGGAGTCATGCATCGCGACCGTATGTCAAGTTTGGGATGTTCATGCAGCTTGGCGCTCCCGGCCGCGTTAGCAAGCGCACAGATTAGGAGAGTCTGGGGTCATCATCAAGTGCTGCTGACTCTTCATACATGGCATGGCCTCTGGCAGGACGGTCAAGTGCCACATTCTGTATCACGGATGTGCTGCGAGCAGAGCCCTTTTACAAGTGTAAACGCGTGCACCGTGCATCGAAATCAATTTATCTCGCACTTGCTCCTGGAAGCTTTGACAGAATGGTGGTCGCTCGAGATTGCTCCATGTCAGCAGTGGCCTTACAAGAGACTCAGCACGTTCGTCATACCATCAAAAGCAATGATGTAGCGTGGCCTGAGGCTGTACAGGGGTCACGCCTGCCGAGGCTCTAGAGTGACCTAATGCACTGCTGTAGAGAAACGTCAACGACCAAAGAGTGACTTGCGAGCACGCCGCCTCGCAGCACCGTCAAATCAGACAGGCGTGCACAAAAAAACTCACCGCACGCTATTCAAGGGATGCAAAGCTTGCTGAAGACTGGTCGAGTGAGAGCAGCTGGCTCTGATGGGGCTTCGGGCGCACGACGCACATCAAAGGTGACCTTCCGTGCCCACCGTCAAAATTCTGCGCCCCTTTCGACTCTGTCAAAGGACTCGCACAACTGCCTCTCCCACATCGTCTCTCTGTCGATTTGCCAATTTGCAAGCTGTGGCTCCCACGATTGATCCTGCTAATAACCCAGTCGACATCGCTCTCCTCACGCGTATTAGCAAAATGCCACCTGTGCGAGTCACTCGCGAGACAAAGACTAGTACCGCTTGTGCTGCTCAAGCCAACGCTCGAGACAAAGCACAAGTAGCAGCGACTGATGCCTGGGAGAGTTTGCTCCATGATCGGCATGTGCCCACAAGAGGACTTGATGACCTTCAAGGGATGAGAGATGACATCACTCGCGTGGTCCGTCAAGATTGGAAGACGAGGACATGGGGACTTTGGAGGTCAACGGCCGCATCAAGCACTGGCTAGATGACCCCGTCAAGATCCGTGCTTTCCATGCCATGGCTTGCAACAGTCTCAGGTTTGACCCAGCAGAGCATGTATGCTTTGTTGAGAATGGCCATGCTCAGTTCTACATCCAGATGGACAATTGGCCCTTGACTAGCGCCCTCCTGGATGAGCACCTCCAAAAACATCCAGGTGATCAACGGTGGATTGAACTCCTACAGGGCCGCAACGGCACCCTCAAGTATGCTGGCACGGTGCACCGTCTTGAACATGGCCCACAGTCTTGCAATGAAGAAGATGCTTGCAAGGCCGCAACGACGATGTTAAAGACTCGCTGGCTACACCAGAAGTGGCGAGTATATGCCCTTGTCGACAATCTACCAGGTGAGTTCTAGAAGCATGTCACATGGGGGCGTGGGTTTCGCGCACGGTAAAGGAGAACATGGTAAAGGAGATTAGTTTGTGACTTCAGAGGCGCGCGTGCGCAAAATGGCTGCACCGCATCTGCGCCACACTCTGTCGAAGCGCACGCTCAAGCTCTCAACATTGCTCTCCGCTCTCCCGTCCTTCTGACAACCGCATACATGCTCACAGATGTCGACGTTCTCAGCTGGCGGCAATCGAGCGCAGAGCAGGATGCAGAGAGATTCCTCATCAGCCTTCTTGGTCCGCTCTTGGCAAACTCTGCAAGAGGCGGTCTCCACCTCCGCTACGCCCCTCCATCGCACCTGAGAGCGGCCGCGCAGAATCTCCTCAGCGCAGCACAAGTACCCCATGGACGCCCACCCCTTGCCCCTCGCAATCAGCGCATCAAGCAACTCTACCGCGAGCATCACCACCATGTGGCCCCTGATACCCCAGCTGGACCAGCCCTTGAGCGCGCAATCAACGTGGCGGCAAGGTCAGCAGACTCGCGCTCAGTCATTCTCCTCAAGGACATTACCCAAGAAGACCTCACTAATGCAGCAGAAGACCATGGTTTCCTTGGGATTGGATGCGGCCAAGGGCCTGAGAGGGCTCAACGGATCCTGACCATGCTCGACTTTGCCATGGAGGACCAAGTCTATGACGGTGTTCACCGCATCCACAGCCCACCAGCAAGCAGTCGTCGTGCCTTTATCGACTTTTGGCCCTTCTCGTTGGAGCGTACAACACCAGCTTTGCACGTGGTGATGTGTCTGCGTGTCTTATTCCAGGTGAGCGATGCGGTGTCCCATGAATGCTGCACACAGCTGACCTCGACGCCGGCCCCAACTGGATGCCAGGGTTGTTCGTATCACCTCTGCCGACGTCTTGTTCTTCATGTGCTCAAATCTTGACGAGATCCTCAAGGACATCACTCAGATTGTCGGCACTGAAGTTGCATTCAAGGTCATCACTGGGATCCTCCCAATATCGACGCTCCCAGACAACATCAGCAGTCCAGCGTCATCTCTCAACATCAGGCTCTTGCGCAAGGCTGGGAATCCTTATTTTGAGGTGACAGAGCTAGCTGGGATACCGCAACTCCTGAGGACTGTCTTGCCAGGCTGGCTTGATCGAGAGCTCCTCATTGTCCCAGCCGTACACAAGGGTGTCCTCAAGTACAGTTCACTCCTCAAAGAACCCCTCAGTCATCTTGTGTACTTGCAGAGCACGGTATATCAAGCAGCAGAAGAGGTAGGCAGGGGCATCTTGGAGCTCTTTGACTCGAGCAAAGTCAAGACCCAGCTCAATGTCCAATGCTAGAGGATCAAGACCCTCAGCAAGATCAATGCCTTCTACCAAAAGCCCCAAGAACCGCTGGCAAACACAACCAACACGGCAGGCACAAGCTGCGATTGGAAGAGGACGGTTGGCGAGGCAGCATCCTCATCTCGCCTTGATCAGTACAACTCAAACCCTCTGCGCAAGCTCCCAGCAAGCCTACAGAGCAAAGGAGAGCGGCGCAAGTGGTTCTCATCCCGAGCAGAAGGGCGGGCAATTGGTCCTGCGGTTGGAGACCATAACTCAATAATTGCCAACACCCAGAGAGCTGGATTGGCAGCCTCCACTTCAGAGGTTTGCGCAAGATATGCCTCAAACGGTACTGGAGGTGGAAGAGCAGCTCATTGGGACACGTCTGCCTCCAACCCAACAACCCTCCGTCAGCGGCCCACAAGCATTGCCCCGCCTCTTTGGCAAATCCGGCCTGCTCTGGTAGATGCTCTGAACGACATGGATGCCAACAGGGAGCTCTTTGACGGGATCCAAACGGCAGACGCCCAAGACTTGGCTAGGATCCATGATTGGCCTGCAAAAAAGATCACCCAGTATGTGCGAAACCACTACAGGGATAATGAAACCATCACTCCTCGACAGCCAACCGTGATCAACAATTACATGTCCCGCCCTCCGCCACGAGAGGTAACGGCCTCAGCAATCAGGCGCAGCAAGGAGCAGGTGCTGTTGATGCTCGACAATCCAAATCCTGATTACAACTTATTGCTGGACATTGTGGCTAGCTTGCCCAGCAGAGCTTTTGCACCGCAAGACTGGCGCCAACCCTGAAAGCTTCTACCTAGTCCTTTGCATTGTCATAGCCCTAAGCTGACTTGTGCAACATTCACGGCTCAAGATGCGCTCAGCATCTTTGCAAGCTGCATGTCATTGCCAACCCAGGAAACCAAGTCTTGCTGTATTGCTCACCTGTGATACCTGCAACTTGCTGCATGAATCCATGTCTGATCTTAGCTGTGCACCAGTGGGACTCGAGGGCTTTGAGTTTTG